AAAAAAAATCGATTAATGGTTCTTTTGACCATACCGAAGTTGCTATATCATGTCAAAATTTTTTTCAATCTCGAAAACCCCGGCGGGTTTTATGTGGCGGGCATTTTTTTCTAATTTACGGATTTACTTTAATTTTGGTTTCCAGGGATTTTTTGGGGTCGACTGCGACATTGGATCCGGCATTTTGAATTTTGAAAATCTGACTTCATATTCGTAATCGATCCTAAAACCACTTATGTATGTACTACCAAGATTAAAGTAAATGCGTCAATATTTATACAAGTTTTCTGTCACATAAAGTCCGCCACATATGACACACCTGGTCTGGTCAAAAGAATCTATTTTACTAAGATAAGTATTATGGAAATAAATATTTATGCTTTGGAATTCTTTACCTCTACGTATTTATCTACATAGTTAATGTTGTCCTCCATTCTAAAATTTGAACAAAAGAAATTTTATATATAAATGCGTATTAAATCGTGGTCGTACAATATTTACTAAAATAATAAAATTTAAATTAAAACCAATAAATACAATTTTCATAATTAAAAAAAAATCGCGGCCTAATGATTAAAACCTCCGATCTCCCAAATGCTTTGCTCATTCGGCCATTGCGATTGATGGAGCAGCGCGCGCAAATGATATAGTACATACTAGAGATGACAGATCGAAATAAAAAAATCGATTTTTGAATCGAAATAAAAATAACCGGTGCTGGGAGAAATCGGCAAAAAACAAATCGATCTCCCGCGATCTTTAGATAGCAATAAAATCTAAAAATTAGATTAGAAAGAGAGAAATAAAAAAAACAAAGAAAACTTTTACTTTAAAGCAAGATCTAAAAATTAAAAAAAAACTAAAACGAAAAAATAAGAGCCTAAAAAATAAATGAAATAAAAAAATGTATTTTTCTTTTTTAAACATTAAAATAAATTAAAACAAAAAAAAAATGACAGAAGAAAAATAAATTAAACTCAAAAAAGGAAAAAATAAATAAAATAAGTTTCTAAAAATTAAATGAAATTAAAAAATATCTTTCTTTGATAAACAATAAAATCTAAAAATTTAAGGAAAGATTTTTTTAGTTCAAAAAACAAAAGAAACAGATGTATTCAAAAAAGGGCGAAATCAAATAGAAGGTTGGATATCTAAACTACAAAAAAAATAAATTAGGAAAAAACAATTTAATAAAAAATATTAAAAAAATACAAAGAATAAGAGTCAAAAATTTAATGAAATGCTATCTTCAAATTGAAAGAAAATTAAATCAAAAAAGAAAAATTTGTATTAAAAGAAATAAAAAAACATTCCTGGGTTCCAGGACTCGAACTTGGTTCTCTCATTGGGCCATTGCGACTGTCTCTCAAAATAAATGTTCACTACGACTCAGTGTTGCCACGGACAAATTTTTTTCCAAGCAATATTTGCCAGAAAAAAATGGTAAGAAGAAGAGTTACGTTTCTTATGGAACTGTAGGATGCTTTAATGCTAGAATAACAAAAGTCTTTCGAACTGTCTTGCTATCTGTCTTTCATTTGTCTTAAGACTTTTTACTATCTTAGCCAGTGTTGCCCTGTAAATAAGTAATTTTCTAATTACTCGTATAATAATGATTACTTACTCGACCATGTTTGCTAAGCAGCTTTCGTCCTTTTCCAAAACGCCATTTTGAAATTTCGCCAATTTATTTCGCTTCCAACAACAAATTGTCAATACCAAAACAATGATGCACAGAAAAAGTGCACTGACAATACTTAACGCAATGCCCTGTGAAAATATTTAGAAATACATATGAACAATTGAATGGCTGTACCAGAACTCTAACGGCCAATACACTTACCAAATTAAAATCACTAGCCTCAATATTTTCGTATTCTTTTAAGAAATCGGGCACTACAAAAATAAAAATAAAAGAAATACATGTATATGTACTTAATTATCATTTAGTCGGTGTGATTATCTTTTACCTGTTACCTTTATGAAGTTTTCAGGTCCGCCGCAATGTAAATCATCGATTACATATGAACGAAGTTTGAGCTCTGCCTTAGATACTAATTGCTTGGGTATTCGCATTTTAAAGGTGCCTTGCATTCCACCCTTGGTCTTAAGGAGCGTTAAATTTTTAATTGGATACAAATGCTCCGTGATGGGTATAAGTCTTCCACCCCATGATAAGGACGGATTTGTTTGTTCGCTGATACTGCGAAATTAATTTATAGAAGAAATAAGTTAGTAAACATACAATGCAAGACAGGCTACAAAGCTCCCAAACAAGTACTGAGAGGCATACTATTTAGTTAAAAGCTTGGTATCCAGTACCTAAGGAAACGGAAAAAGGCCTAATTTCGTTTGGGTGAATAGTAGTGTCCAAGGAATTTTGACAGCCTCTTGTCTCACTCTTTCCTGACAAAATATTGGAACGGGCATACTTCTAGCAAGTATCTGTTCGCATGCTCCCTGTGGTAGTAGGTGAGCGGGAATTGCTTGCTGATAATAAAATAGTGCAGCCTGACCGCGGTGTGGAGACAAGTCTGAAGCTTCAATCACTGCGTTTTACTAAGTAGTCTCCAAAACAGGCCAAAGAGGCGCAATGGAATTTAGAATAGGCCGACCAATTGCCTTGCTCGTTGCCTCCAATTTTTTTTTTTTAGCAAATGCTACCAGCGAGCGATTTGAGGCCTTGTGGCGGCTCCGCACTTTATTGGCAATCGCTGCAGGGTGCACAGAGAAGGAGCGCAAATTGCCGTCGATATTGATGTGCCCTAGACGTGGAAGTCTATTGTAGCTTTACCTCATTCTTCCAGCTGGTGAAAAGAGTTGTTGTTAATTTTGTTGGGGAGAGGATAAGACTTCGTACAGGGAAGAAGCGAAAAAGATTTGAGAGATAACCTTTTACTTTCTGACAAAGGTAATCAATGCAATTGCAAGAGACTAATATTAAGCAATCATCAGCGTAGCTTTACACGACCAAGAGCGTGTGCAGATCAGCGAACCATCAATTTCCATTACATATTCGGGAGGAGTTTCACATATTTCAGAAGGAAGAAAATAATATTTGGGAGCGACATGCTACATTGCGTTTCTTACCAGTACGTAAGGGCAGATTAGCCGTCAGGGCGAGAAACTCCATACATACATATGTACATACATGAGACATGAAAGTGCCATAACTTTTAATAAAACCTTTGATAAGCCGTTTGAGAATTTCAGAGATATTTTTATTTGTGTGATGGTGACTGGAACCATAGTTTAAAAAGTATCTTTTTTTTAATTATTAGATCCTGCCAAGTTTCAGAGTCGTGGAGCCATGCAGATTTATCGTTTTACTTTAACTTTAATACATACTATAGATAAATATGTCATTGAAAATTTGGAGTGCAACTCACATTAAATACAACTTCCAGTGATCATCTGATTCCTTTGCATCGTACTGGAAATGTTTGCTGCCGTTTTCATATCTTATTGACCAATTGTAAATTATCGTTTCATTATTGGGTATATGGACGGACGATGTGACTTTGGGTAGTTTTTCAGCATGTCGACAGGAACAAACATCCTTAATGCAATCTGTTAAGAAAAATGTATGCATACACGTTACTTAATTACTGTATGTTTACATATACGTAAGCCAATATGTACGCAACTTGGCGTAACTGGGCCTCATGCATAAAAAGTGAGCTTAAGCTTCGACTCGATTTTCAGAGCAAATTCTTGAGCTTGAGCTCACTTCATCAGTGTAAACATTGAATCTGAGCTTAAACTCAGTTTTTATAAATGAAGTCCACTAAGTATATCGCACACCCTCTTCAAAAGGGACACAACTCTAAAAACTACTGTTATACCAGTTTTTTGTATTAATTGCGTTGAATCTTGACCATCCACATGCAGTTATATTTTCGGATCTGATTTTTGAGTTGTGCCTCTTTTTTGAAGATGGTATGCGATATATCTAATTTTGTACTCACATGGCACCGACACTGTCGAATGTTGTGACATCGCTGTATTCGATGTTTCCACCATTACGGAATAATTGCATCCAAACATGAAACCACATTCATTTTGATCCACTTGTGTCATAGGATTTTCTGGTATAATCACTTGTTTCGCATCCTTTGTGTAAATATGAATTTGTGAAATTCTCGTACATAAAATTTTTATAGATAAAAATAATTAGCAAAATGGGGCTTAAATATTGTGGAATATTTGCGAAATCTTTACATTTTATATATGTACTTAGAAAGTTACAATTTGGGAATGAAAACGGTATACATTTTATAAGTAATTTCAAGCTCAAATCTTCGAGGTCAGAACAACTCAATAAAAATTGCGACTGAGTAACTGAATGTTGTTGTCAAGATATCAGCCGTTAAATTTGTCTTTAACTTTCTCCTCCCTTTTTGTTAGAATAGGGAGCGTGGTAATGGTTAATTAACCGCATAGTAAACATTTGTGTGGTTGTTAAAATTCAAAAAAGAATATTTTTTTTACGTTTAAATTTAACAGATTATTATTCTAACAAATGATGGAAAAGTAGGTATAATTGTATTCTTTCAGTCCTTTTTGAGATCGAAAGTACATGCGGTACAAAGACGCCATATAAGTACGGTGACCTGATTTCTGTGGACAAAAATCGGAACAATTTTGTTTTTAGAATTAAAATACATAGCACATTTTAATACAGTTTTATTTAGGACAAAGCAAAGAGTAAAAAACTTGAAAAATTATCGCAAAAATGCATACACACAATAAATACGGTGGCGAGAATGTAAATAGGGAAAAGACATTTTAGCAAGTTTTGCCTACTTTTCTTTGTTTAATATTGTTTTTTATTATTGTTTTTTAATGAAAATATAGCTTATCTTCTTCTTCTTATTTGGCGCTGTAACCGCCTAAGCGATTTTGGCCGAGTTCAACAAAGCACGCCAGTCTTTTCTTTTCTGTGCTAACTGGCGCCAATTGGAAATGCCAAGTGAAGACAAGTCCTTCTCCACCTGGTCTTTCCATCTCAGTACGGGCCTTTCTCATCCTCTGCTACCACCAGCGGGTTCCGGGTTGAATACTTTCAGAGCTGGAGCGTCGGTGTCCATTCGAACGACATGACCAAGCCAGCGGAGCCGCTGTATTTTAATTCGCTGCACTATGTCCATATCGTTGTAAAGCTCATACAGCTCATCGTTCCATCGTCTTCGTTGGATTTCCATGCTGACATTATACTACTTTTGTACAAAGTTTGACTTACATGGTTTTTGTTATATAACGAGCTACACTTTTATAAAAATAAAGAATATTAAATAATCGAAAGGGCAATAACCAAAGAATGCTAAAATGTCTATTTCCCTATTTATATTTTGCCACTGTAGCTACAGCTTGTATTTTTCATATCCATGATTGTTTTGAGGGAATTAGCATTATTTTTATAATTTCAGTAAATTCAAGGTAGAATCGTTTCATTTAGAAAAAAACTTAAGAAATAATAATAGAAACCTTGAAAAAAAGTTTTACGGAATAAAACTTAACCAATTATCATAGAAAATAAGGATGCTGGATATGTTTATGGATGCCCTATAATCTATGCTCTTCGTGATAAGAAAGTGCTGCCACGTTTGTACGAAAATTTGTTTTAGGCACTTAAAGCTTATAGCAACACAAATAGATTAGAAATTAGAATTATTTTTACTAACTTTTATAATTCCATAGACACTGCAGGGAGGCTCACTACATTCCGTTGAATTTAATGCAGTCACAATAACATTATATGATGTACCTGTAAGATGGGCACTTTAAGTCAATATCGAATTTCATTAAAAAAATAATAATATGAGACTCACCCTTTGGCAAGTTGTCATCCCAGCTAATTAGAAATTGTACAATGTCGCCCTTTTCGTGTAACGTAACATTGGTGCTGATGCCTGTGGAGTGTTATTTAAGAGCTTGAATATATTTCAGTTTTGCATGGAACCATGTTTTAATGTATGGAATTTACCTGCTATTTCTCCAGGTTGTGTTAGAAGCTGCAATAGAAATATTAGAAACTCTTTTAATAAGTTTTAATTAATTTAGCTAATAAGTAATTTAGTAATCAACTTGCAATCGAAATCGACAAAGTGATAGAAATAAATATTTAAAAGAGGGTAAACTTTTTTCGTCCACGCATATTTTGGATTCAAAGGGAGTAGAAGTTGAACAAACTTAGAAAAATTAACAAATATTAAAATGATGTATTTTGGAAAGAATTTTCGTCATCCCTTGACAAAATTTGCTTGGAGACAAACCGGTTTCGTTGTGGTGCCACCTTCAGTGTCATTTTTCGTTCTAAGAACTTCTCAGCCTGTTGGAAGAAACAACCCACTCCAAAAAGGGTTTTGCTCAGTTTCTCGTTTGTAATTCCGTTAAAAGAGTATACTATCGACGGCTGAGTAGAAGATCGGCATATCACGGCAGACGGTAAAAATTACCTAAAGCTAAAAAAATGCCCTGAAAAAGTTCGAAATTTAGGAATTTTTATAAAAAATTCCTGTTTTAAAACTACTTTGATTGTTTTCTTATTTATCCTCAGTGATAAACAATCTCTATAAGAAGAGCTTTCATTAAAAGTTACTAGCTCCTTAAATCCAGTTGAAATATACGCACTTTGATGACTCATTACCAAATAATACTCTTCGCAGCGGATTAAAAAAGTTTCCCAACCGTTCTTTGCTTGTTTGAGGACATTTTGTGAAACTCTCGCTAAAGGCTCTTATGTTGGTACGCTGGGTTCCTTCAAAAGTCATATGAATTAGACATGTTACGGACCTTCGACTTCGATTCTTAAAGGTCGGAACTTTCGATTGAACCTTCGATTCCGATACCGGTTGTAACTATTTTAAATCGGCGTTTTATCGAAGTTCTGAAGGACCTTCCCTTCAACTTTGTAAAAGGTCTCGGCTATCTATGCCTATTGTCATTCAGCTAATGGGCTGACAATTTTTTACGCTCACGCTTGTAATTCGCTCCCGATTTCGGTTGTGACTGCGATAAATTAAATCTTACAACTCCGATTCCGAGTCCGTTTCCGGTACACTCACCTTCGCAGATCACTGATTTTTAATTGGCTTAATTTTGGGGTTTCTTAATGCAACTAATAACAAGAGGGTGAGCGATTCCTCTAGACCTTCATTAAATTCCTCGTACAAAATACATTTGCATACACACATACATACATACATACTTTTGCATATACGAATATGTATGTCTATTATTGTTTTCTTTATTAATTCACAAATAAATATTTACCTTAGTGGGAGCGCCAGCGCTGTGTATGCTCATTGTAGTGGATGCTTCCATTCGCAAAGCAGCGGTCGTTAATAAGGAAAGCATCAATGTAATACACGGCACGTATAAAAGTTTCGAACACATTATTTTTTGTTTTTACATTAGGAATACATCATGGTCCTTTGTGCACCGTTATTATTCTGAATAAAGTCATGAGGAAGCCTAGAAGACAAAAGATAACAAGAATAGATTCATGCCAACATAAGCTTTTTTACTGTTTGAAAACTATGTGAAATAGAAACGGTTTATCCGGTTTTTTTATTTCAAAATCGGGAACCGGTTTTTTCAAACTGCAATTTTTTTCAGATAATTCGAAAACCAGTTTTGGAAAAAAGTCGAATAATCTAACACCCTAATTATTAGATAAAAATATTTATTAATATCTCTCGCGTTTGCCTTGAAATGTTTTTGATTCAGTCATGGTGATTTATTTGCCTCACAAAGAAATTACGTAAAACTAAGCTGTATGTATGTTTATATGTATGCATACTTCAGATATGTCC